TTTCAAAATTTCTCATTTTTTAAAAAATTAGAAGAAGATTTTGAGTACTATTATGAAGAGGAGACTACGATTAATATTAGGAAAATTATCTAGAGAATAACTTGAGGATTATAAACGATATATTGTTTACAGATATATCAACTACGTTAGTGGAAAACTGAAAATTTATTACTTTTCTATATATTTACTATTTAATTAGGTGATTTTCCGTGTTATACGCGTTAAATATTTTTTAGAAATTAAATAAATTAAAAAAATATTATTTTGTGGCTAAAAATTGCTAATAAAGTTCAGTTTGGATTTAAGTTCAATTTTTTTATATGAAATAGTATTTTTCTTGTTTTTATGTCTTTTGGCACCAATTCTATTTTCATTAATAACATTGACAATAAGTTTATTTACAATTCAATTAACAAAAAATAATTGAATTGGTCGCATGATCCAATTTTATATCGTAATAACCAAGTAAGATTTTTTCGTTTCTAAAAGTTTTTCCATTTCTATTGTAGTGTCGACCTTGTCGTTAACGCATCGCACCAAACTACTAATATTGTGTGTGTAAATTCTTTTAAAGCTTGAAAATTTGACAAAATAACAAAACAAAACATAGCATATTATGATCAATTGTGTTCAATATCCATTTGGATAAACCAGTGTAAATTATTGTCTCTACGAATAACAATATCATTTTTTTAACGTGAATAACAATGTCTAAAATGAAAATATCTATTATGGATAATATTGTTTTTTGTTAGATTCAATAGTGAATTTGGACATTTAGATTAGAATTTTTTAAAATTTTTTTAGTAAATTGTAAAATATTATATTGATATTTTATTATTTGCTTATAACTTTATATATCAAATATGAAGTTTACTATAAAATTAGAACTTATTTAGAAAAATTTAAAGAGTACTTATTTGTTAAATAAATATGTACAACTAATATTTATTTAAATTGTATCTTAAGTATAAATTATGTTAAATTTGGCTTGTCCGAGTATCGTAAGTAGAATTTAGAATACATATAAGTTTTAAAGTTTTAAGAAATTAAAATATATAAACATAAATTTTATCAATGAAATACGGATTAAAAATATTTTTTTATTACTTTTGAATTGAGGAATGTTTTGTTTTTACTCTTAAATTGTCGTGTTAAAAAAAATATTTCAAAAGAATAATTATAGTTGTTGTTATAAATTTGGGAAGTTTTTTTCATAAAACATATCAAAATTTCTTTTTAATAAGTCTTTATTATTAAATGTCAAAAAGAATATATATTTTATAAAAATATTCTATAATTTTATTATAATAATAATCAATTTTTAAACTATTTTTT